TCTCTAATTTGCAACAAGAAATAGATGCAAGAGTCAATGCATGACCTGTAGGCCACAGATCATAAATGTTAACTGCAAAGCTGGGTTCAAACCTGCACAGCCTGGCTCCCAGCGTCTGGATTCTTAACCAGAGGACTTTATCTCTTCTTAGCCTTTGTCTCTTGGACCATGAAATCAGAACAGGGCCCAGGGGCAAACTGTTAGAGTTACGACTTACTCAGAACAACAATAACAGTAATAGTAACAGACATGGAGTGATCATGAACTGCCTCAAACAAAGAGGTTACATGGAACCATGGTCAAGGGCTTGGATTCTACCATCAGGGAGATCTGGGTTCAAATGCTGGCTCCGCCATGCGTTAGCAGGGAAAGTTACATAGCCTTCCTGGGCCTCAGTTTTTTGTCTGTAAAATGGGGATAAAAGTAAAGAGGTGAGAAGGAATGGGAGTGTAAGAAAAGAAAGGCTAGATAATTTCTGTACTGCAATAGGTGAAGGGAAGTTCCACTTGACATGATTTGACAAGCAGATATGACACATACTGCAATTAAAAACCTTGAACAGGACTAAATGGGATAGGGGGTGGGGGGATGAAAAAAGGAGCTTGGGAAACGCGAAAAATAGGAGCGGATGAAAGTACACAACAAAGGTTTGCTTTAGTGCTGCAAAAAGTTACCTGCAGCAATCAATGGTAAATGAATGGCCATGAATGATTTGTGAAAAAAAAACTAACATGATTTGTAAACTTTCATTTTTTAAAAAAAACAAACACATACCCCTACTTCATCTTCAATATAAGGTTATGTTTGGTGTTTTTTTTTGTGGAACAAACATTTCTTTTTTATTATTATTATTAATTTCAATGAACATTTACAGAGATTTTGGATTTCCATTCATTCATTGTTGCACTTTTCTCCCCCCCACCCCAAACATACTCCACTCTGCAACCCTCATTACGAACTCTTACGATAATCACACTGCCCTAAAATATATTGCTTTTAAACAGTTTTCTCCCTCATCTGTTTCAATGCAGTAAAAAAAAAAAAGAATGTCACTTCACATAGCCTGGAGAGAGTGACAGAGTTAACTCTTCCCCTGTCATATCCCACCCCATAATAATTAACCCTGAATGTATGCATTTATGTTGGGTGTTCCTGGAAGGTTATGTTAAAGATAATGTTATAAGATAATGGATAAAAACTGCCTGTGTCAGGACTTGCTCAGTGAATATTAAGGACTGCTGGCAGGTCTGGGAGATGGAGTGGGGAAAAGGGATACAGGTAGACCCGGACTAAGATTGACAGCCTGAGGTGGAGGGTGAATTCCCAGGGGGCTCAGAGACTCGCTGCAGGAAGGCCCCTCTTAACAGGGCTCCCAAGGCCTTTGAGAAGCCATGTGTGCCCCTGGGGCCTGTAAAGGTTTCTGCTTTGCAGTGCTCGCTGAGTAGCAGAGAAGAGTGATTCAGCTTGCAGCGGACATTTAGTCAGCAATTCACAAACACAAAGACATTGCCAACAACTCGACTCATAACTGACCCTCCAATGGGTTTTTAGAGGCTGAAAAATCTGAGGGGAGGAGATTGTCCATCTTAATCCCGTGGAAGCCACAGTGGATTGGAACAGCCGGAGAGGCTACACTTTAGACTCAGGGCCTCCACAATGTGCTCAAAGATGCCTTGACCCCCCATCCCCACCCTGCTGGAGTAATTGTTGATGTTATTATGTGCCATTGAGTCGCCTGTGACTTATAGTGACCCTATTGTGTACAACAGCTCTGAACCCTGCCCTGTCCTGAGCCAATCGCATTGTCTCTGACAGACCTAATCCAGTTTCTCCAGTCACTGTGTCAATCCATCTCATCCGGGGTCTTCCTCTCCTTCACTGTCCCTCCACCATTCCAAATCCTTCTCCAAGGTCTGGTCCCTCCTGGCCATGTGTCCGAAATATATGAGATGGCACTTCAAAATCTTTGCCCCCAGGGAGCAGCTTGGTTTCCCCGTCTCCAAGACATACCTGTTTGTTCTCCTGGCAGTTCACGGTATGTGCAACACTTTTCTCCAGCACCACAACTCAAAGGCATCAACTGTCCAACTCTGTGACGTACAGCAAGCAATTGCAAAGATCATGACCTGGATCAGGTGCACCTTAGTCTCTAAGCTGACATTGTTGCTCTTCAGTGCTCTAGAGAGGTCCCTGACAACAAACTTTCCCAATACAATCCATCATCTTTTGATTTCCTGATTGCTAGTGCTAAGAGTGTTGATTGTGGAACTGAGCAAGCTGTCATTGTTAACAATCTCAATCTCTTCTCTGACTATCATGAAAACTGCCAACTGGCCCAGTGGTGGGAATCTTTGCTTTCTTGACATTAAGCTGGAGTCACTAGGGGCATGTGTATTTTGTGTGGGTTGTTTTGGTTTTTTTTTTTTCTTCAGGAAACACAGCGACACCTGTTGGACGCTTCTCAAAATACAACTCAAGGTAGTTCTCAGTTTCGAGTATCAGATGAGGCTCACTCTGCCATTCCCAACACGTGGGAAACAACACAAAGCCAAGACTATAAATCTCAAGGGAGGAGATAGCCCCTCGTTATCCTGCAGAACTGCTGGTGTATTTGAACCATCTAACAGTCTCACTACTTCTGAGTTAGCAGCACAACTCCCTACAGATGAGGCCAGTAAGTCACCTGGCAGTGAAATGCTATTAGAACTAGCATCCTATGTGCTGGAGAAGGTGCAGCCAGAGTGCTCTTTAGAAGCAACAATGGTGAAGCTTCATCTCCCATATTTTGGACATGTTTGCCCGTGCTTGGAAAGGTGGAAGGTCAGCAAAGGAGAGGAAGACCCTCAATGAGCTGGATCGAGACAAGTGTCTGTAGCAATGGACTCCAAGGTGTTGAGGATGACAAGATGGCACAGGATGGGACAGACTTCAGATCTGCTGTTTACAGAGTTGCTATGAGTAGCACTCGATTCAACGGCACCTTAAAACACCACCACCACATACATGATCAGTGTGCGATAAGCTTAAGCTGTATTCAACCATCTGTTTAGGTTTAATTGTTTTTGGTCAAACATTCTTCCAAGTGGTACAGCATTGGTCTGTCCATTCGCTGTACAGCGATAACTCGTGGTTGCCGTGATGCTGAACACTTTGACACTGATGTGTCAAATGTGATAATGGTTTCCCACGGCAGACAGTGTTTGGTGGAGGTTCCTGCTTAAAATAAGTTTGGAAGTAGGAGTGGCATTCACTTCCGAGACAGCTTGCCTCCAGAAACTCTATGAACTTAGAGAAAGAAGGAAAATTATACAAGTGTCGAGGTCTTTCATTCATAGTGTTGCTATGGCACTTGAACCACATGTGAAAAAGAAGCCATAGAGTTAATGTCGACATAGGATGAGCCTGTGTGCTAACAAAGTAGAACTGTCCATGAGATTTTCTTGTAAAGCATTCGTGCTCACTTGGCTGTGCTTGTAACTGAAAGGTCAGGGGTTCAAGCCCACCTCCTCCAGTGAAAGGTGGACAGTCTCCTCCTGTCCAGAACGGTCCTGTTCAACCTCAGGAACCTGACTGGAGGCTCGTCATGACTTGGAGCTGACTCACTGGCTGTAGATTCTGTTGGGTAATTTTTATGTGAGCAGATCACTAGGCTGCTCTGTCACAGTGTCATGGGGTGGATTTGAACCGGCAACCTTTAGGTCAGCACCCTAAAGAAAACTGCCATGTGGGGACCTCACCTAATATATTCTGGGCCCTATTCTAGGCACTGGGAACACAGCAGTGAACCAGACAGACAGAAGCCAGAAAGAGGGTTACATTCCAGCAGAGGGAGACAGCTCACCAATAAGAAACTCATAGGAATTCTTTTTAAGTAAAATTTTTATTTTATAAGTGGTTTCATTACAAAGTTTGTATATGTTGTTTTTCATACCAGATCTTTCCCATTTTCTTTGCCCACTCCTCCCTCTACCCATCAAATTGTGTGACCCTATGATTAACCCCCGACCATCTATCCTCACCCCTCGGCTCCTCATATCCATTCATTTAAAAAAAATATTTTACTGGGGGGAGGAATTGTGTAACAAGGAAAGAATTTTCCTTTTACTTTTCAAGCAGAAGAGAGAATTGGGAGGGAGGGGGTGGGCAGGGAGAAAAGGACAACAATGAATGACTGGAAACCCTAAGTCTGTAAACTTGCATTTAAATTAATTTTAAAAATCTTTTCTTGAGAAATAATTCACAGACCATAAACTTCCCCCTTGCATAGTGTACAACCATCACACGGACACCTTTGCCTGGCTCTGTAAATCTTGCTCTTGTGTGACTTTGGATACATTTCTAGAAGTTTCCTTTTCTTCCCATGTCTGTTCACGCTGTCAGGAAGATACACAATGCATCAACTCCTTTCAGTAAGTTTATCCTCCAGGCAAACCGGATGATGAACCTGGGGTGAGGGGTCTCCAAAAGTGCAGATGGGGTTTGAATCTACCAGCTACTTGGAGGCAGATAGACGGGCAATGCACTGTCATGCAATCTGTTGTTGTTCTTGTGTACCGTCCTGCTGGAGAGTCAGCTAAAAGTGGGTTTTGATTAGATGGTACACAACAACAACAACAGCAACAGTCCAACTGTGGAGGAGAGCTGGCCTGAAAGCCTAGGACTCCTTATTGCTTCTGCTTCTAAAAGGAACATGGCTTTCCCCCTTCCACTCTCCTCTCCTGCCTCTGCTTGGCCCCCTACGAGGCCCTTGGGGTAGGATCGAGCCTGGCTCACCCAGAGGCCTGCCCAGCTGCCCGCACCATCCAGCTGCCTGGGCCCCTCTCCCCGCCCTCCGCTCTGCCCACTCCCATTGCAGGCCCGGTTCTGGGCCCTGCGCTGCCATGAGGCCTGCACTTTGCGCGCTGCAGGGCTGAAGTCCAAAGTTCAGTCCCTTTGCTAAGCGCACGGATAAATATGAACCTTGGAGAATTTCCCCAGCTCCAATGTAAACAGAGCGGGCAGGGGCCCTGATTCACCGGCCGCTGGGCCAGGGTTGGGGGCTGGGGGTGCCCACACCGCTCAGCTAGACGGGCTTTTGGGGGGGCTGCTGTGGGTGCGAGGAGCCTGGCTTGGGCCCACCAGGCCGCCGGCAGGTGGACGCCCACGTGGCGGGAGCGCCTGGTGGCCCTGGGCCGTGTGGCCCCTGTACACGGACCGGAGCCATGGTTTCTAAACTGAGCCAGCTGCAGACGGAGCTGCTGGCGGCCCTGCTCGAGTCCGGCCTTAGCAAAGAGGCGCTGATCCAGGCCCTGGGCGAGCCGGGGCCCTACCTGCTGGCCGGGGATGAGCCCCTGGACAAGGGGGAGACCTGCGGCAGTGGCCGCGGGGAGCTGGCCGAGCTTCCCAATGGGCTGGGGGAGACGCGGGGCTCTGAGGAGGAGACAGACGATGATGGTGAAGACTTCACACCGCCCATCCTCAAAGAGCTGGAGAACCTGAGCCCCGAGGAGGCGGCCCACCAGAAGGCGGTGGTGGAGACCCTGCTACAGTAAGGAACCCCCATCCCCGCCCGTCCAAGCTCCTGACCAGTCCCTGCTAGAGCCCAGAGTCTCTATGAGCCCAGTTATCCAAAAGGGGATCTGCCAAGAGAGCTTGGAGGGGTGCTGGCCGAGATGCCAGAGCCCCCAGACCCTGGGCAGCCCCTCTGTGGTAGCCCCTGGCCTCTGAGCTGACAGCCCAGGCTGAGACCAGTGACATGTCCCAGGGGGAAACTGGCCGCAGCCTCTAATCAAATGCCTGGGACTCCAAGGGCAGTGGGAATTCTTAACCTTCAAGGCCATTCCTGTTCCCCAAATGCGCACTTTCAGGCCAGGTCAACAGAGTAGACTCAGGGGCCCAGAGGCACAGCCGTGGGCCTACGCTGGAGTTTTGGGGGTTTCTCTCTAGCTGCTTGGGACAAAAGCGTTCCCCGGGAAATCTCAGATCTTGCTTACCTGAACGGATGGTCTCAGCTCCCCCCTTTACCTCACCAGCAGATGCCATTAGAGACTTCCTATCTGTACCCCAACCACCAGCCGGCTCCCCATCTCCTGGAGAACTGGGTGGGTCCCGGCTGGATGCCTCCCCTCTCCTCAGCAGAGCTGATCTGGTTACTAATTACCCACGGGCTTTATTATTTCTCTTTTGTCTTATAAATTTATAAATGGCAAAAGGTTCTGATAAGGCCCTGTGATCATTAACTTGTGGGACAGCGGCCTGGAGAGGCCTGGGCCAACCAGCCTCCCCAGGCGGGGGTGGGGGAGGGGAGCGTGCGAGAGGCAGAGGGGTGGTCTAGGGGCTGCAGGGGCCTATCCCTCAAGGCTCCATCCTCTCAGTCCCTCGGCCTGAGGCTGGTGAGCCAGGTTCCTCACTTATTTCACTTCGTCTTGAGAGGAGCCCCGAAGGAAGCTGTTTCTCACTCTGCTTCCCAGAGGGGGAGATTGAGACTCAGAGAGGGGAAGGCACCTGAGGTGGCCCAGAGGGGCTCCCACGCCCAGTCTCTTTGATGCCCTCAATCCCTAGGGTGAGGGGGCAGGGGTAATGGGGGTGGCTGGGAAATCTGAGGACAAGAACCCCAGAATGTTCTGCGGGGACCATCTTTGTTCTGTCCAAGGTCCTGATCCTGGGAGGGGGAGGGCTGGTGGCTCGGGTCTTCCCACTGGCCTCCGGGCGCCCCCCACATCTGCCAGGCCTCGTGAGGACCTGGGCAAGGGGCAGGGAGGCGGCCAAGGCCCCCTGACTTGGCAGGAAGAGGAGGGCAAAGGGCAGCATGGCCGCAGGGGAGGGGCAGAGCTCCAGGCATCTTCTGCCCAGGGCGAGGGCAGCCTGGGCAGGGTGCGGCTGGGCTGGGCCTGCTGGGGCCCCTACATGGGCTTGGGGACCCTGGGGTGGTGGGGCAGGGGTGCCCAGGCTTTCTTACCTGGCCTCTTGATCTGAGCAGCCCTCTTGGGTAGGATGGCAGGGAGTGGCTGGATCCACAGCTCTGGAGGGGGGAGCACGGGTCATGGTGTTCCCTGGGGACCAGCAGGGCCCTGGACCTTCCAGACAACAGGGAGATGGAGAAGGAGCCGGAGGAGTGAGGCGAGAGTAGCCCAGCATGGGAGCCAGGGCCAGGCCAGGGAGAGAAGGGGTGCTGGGGAGAAGTGAGGTGTCCCAGGTGAGAAGAGAGGAGGCTGAGTGCCTCCCGCCCGCCCCATGGGTTTTCTTTAATGCTAACAGCATGCTATTTACTTTCCATTTAAATTTGAGATGTTGCTATAAATTATCAACCAGCTCCTTGTTCCTGTGGAGTTTATAACTAACTACCTGGGTTACTTATTGTTCAGGTAACAAAAGGGATCTGAAAACGCCCCAGGGAAAGAAGTGGGGTTTCTGGGCTTCTGGCAGGGGAAGGTGACAAGGGGGAGGCCTGGCTGGGGTCAGGCTTGAGGCTGGAAGAGAGTGAGCAGGGCTGGCCCTCTGGGAGAAGCCAGGATCCTGGACACCACCAGGGTCTGGGAAGACACAGGGCTTGGTGTTGGGCCCCAGGCCTCGCTGTGGTGCCCCATGCCTGAGGTCACAGCAGAGATCCAAGCTCTCCCCTTAGATACCTGCTTTCATACATCTGTAACCTTGGGCTAATCTCTATTTCACTTTTTGCCTCAGTTTCCCCCCCTCCATTTGGCCAATTGATCAGGATAAAATCCCATTTTGCTGTCTTTCCCCTGCACCCCAAATTCTCCAACCTCTTCCAGAATCTCCCTTGCCCCCTCTCTTCACTCTGAGGACATTGACCTTGCTGTTCCTTAACACACCAAGCTGATTCTCACCTCAGGGCCTTTGCATGTGCTGTGCCTACTGCCTGGAACCTTTGCTCCAGGACTTTCCATGACCCATCCTTTCTCCTTCGGCTCAAACGTCACCTCCTCTGGGCAGCCCTCCCTGACCACTCCATCTGAAAGTGAATCCCACCTCCAATTACTTTCTCTTCCGCAGCCTGTGTTGTGTTTGCTTCTCCTGTCACTGATCATGACCTAGGATGATCTTTAATTTTCAACTCGGTTTGAAAACTGGAATTCTTAAAGGGCAGGGTGTGACCTGGGGAGTTGTTCGCCACTCCTCGCCTGATCCCCAGCCCGGTGTGGCTGAGGCATAAGAGTCCCGGGGGGAGAGGGGGATAACACTTGGTGACTGGCTGAAAGGTTGGTGGTCTGCACCCAAGCAGAGGTGGGTCGGAAGGAAGGCCTGGCAATCTGAACGCTGACAGCTATGAAAATCTTACAGAGCGCAGTTGTTATGGAGTACCTATGGGGTCTCCATGAGCGGGATTTGATTGATGGTAACTGGTGGTAATTGTGGCTGACACACAGCATGGACTGCTCTTTGGGCCCTGGTCTATCTGCTCTTTGTTGGCCCTGGGTCCAGCAGGCTGAGGCCATGCCCAAAGGATGAACCTGGACCTGGGGTCGTCACACTCCAAGTGCAGCTCAGCCCCCAAGCTGGAAGCTCTCAAAACCTCTTCCCAGGCCGGCACCAGGGCACTGAGGCCCAGAACAACGGTGGTCAAGGGTCTGACACCTCTGGCTGAAGCCAGACTGCCTGGGTTCCAGCCAATCACAGCTCTGCCCCTTTCTCGCTCTAGAGGTTTATTTTGCCTGTCTGAGCCTGTTTCCTCTGCAAAGTGGAGGTGATAACAGTACTGACCCGCGGGGCTGATGAAATAGCATGTATGGACAGGACACACACAGAAAGTACAATGACTGCTATCTATTGTAACATTGGGCTGGAACTGACTTAGAGCTGACCCTCCAGCAGGTTTTCAGACACTCTTAGTAAACTGCCTGGGAAGAGATTAGCCATCTTTCTCCTTTGGTGCAGCTGGTGGATTTGGATCATTTGCCTTTGAATTGATAGCACAGCTCTTTACCACTAAGCCACCAGAGGTCCCATTATGAGTCCTATTATGAGCGGCCCCATTTTACAGATGAGCAAATCAAGGCACAGGGAGCTAAAATGACCTGGCGCAAATAATTCTGACAAAACATGAAGACCAGGACTTGGACCTGGGCCTCCTACCCACCCCTTTCACAGTGGTCATGAGGTCTGCATGCCTCTGCCTGGTAGGTGTGCCACCCCAGTCCCTCTTCCTGGGCTCACCCACGACACCATCAGCTCACTTCCACGTATGCTTTACAGGTCATGACGAGTGTATGTGTTGTTGGGTGCTGTTCACTGGTTCCCACTCGACACATCAATACGTGTTACCTTCATCCTATCCATCAATAGGACGAAACACTGCAGGCCAGAGCTAGCCTCAGAACTGCTGCAGTATTTGAGCCCATTGGTGTCAAGCTCTCTCTTTTTTGGGTTCTGATTTGTCTCTCCTGACAACATATACAAGGAAGATTAAAACTTCACACGTAGGCAGCTCTGGTGGCCTAGTGGCAAGACACTGCACCACTGCACTACAATCCCAGAAGAATGCGGTTCAAATCCACCAAATGCTCTGCTGGAGAAGGAGGGGCAATCTCCTCCTGTACCAGTCAGATCTGATTTGACGGTACACGTAAAAATAATACAATAAAAAACCCAAAAACAACTTCACACGTGTTAACACATCTTCTCCCTGAAACCCTCTGAAGCAGGGCATGTTATTAGTCCTGTATCGTAGATAAGGAAACTGAGGCACAGGGAAGTTAAGATAATTGCTCAAAGCAACATGAAGAGCAAGTGGCAGAAGAGGGATTTGAACTTGGGTCTACAGGACCCCATACTGAACTCTCAGCTCTCCAGGAGTGGGTAGATCCACAGGCTCACAACCTGGGATGTGCTGGGACCCGCGCGGACAGAGAGGAAAGGGCTCAAAGCATCTGACTGACTACAAAAGAGGAAAGGTGGGCAGACCACCTCAGACTACCTGCCGGCTGTGGGGCTGGGAGGTCCCTAAGACAGCACCCGTAATTACAGTATTTTCCCATTAATTGAGAACTTACTGTGTGTCAGACTTACTGTTTTAAACTCACTTAATCCTTCCAGTAGCACTGTGAGGTAGGCATGGATTTAGTCCATGTTATGACTGGGTTTTGGGTCATTCATGATCACAGAAGAGCTAAGTGGTCATGGTGGGATCTGTCACATTGGTTTGACCCCCAAACCCATTAGTGTTAAGCAGGAGCTTTCGGGAGACTTGGTCTTTACTTCTGGGGTAGGAGAGCTGGGGAAGTCATGGAAACTGAGTGAGTGAGAGACAGAGATAGATAGATAGATGACATGAAGAGATGAACAAACCAACCTGTATACAAACTCATTCACATGATCAGACAAAAATGCACAAAGAAAAATATTGGGAGGAGAAAAGACTGATGAGCTCAGTGGGTCCTAAAAAATAAACAACGTGGCTAACTTTTCCCGGCAAGAGGGAGACAGGACTGCTTGGCTGTCTTCTGTCGTTTTCTTTTTATTTCTTTACTTATTTTGAGTAAGGTGTTTCTCATAAAGGTTTCCATAGAAAATTAGTTTCCCGATTTAACC